CCACAGTTTATCAAAGCCACTCTGAAAGGCTGGCAAAGGAGGCTGCTTGTAAAGAAAAGTAAAGTGCTTCTCTTTTTTGGGGGGTTGGGGTTAAGTGTTTTTGGAGGGTTGCAGTATGACCCCAGGCTGGGGAGTGAGGGACAAAGTTGGGTCCCAAACTCTGACCATCTCAGTAGGCACCAGTTTGAGCTTAAATGGTTGGATATCTTAATAGCTGCAATTATATCTGTTCACTATGGATGAGTACTGTGCATAAGGCTAATAGGATTTGGCACCTCCAAGTGTATAGAGCTTGTAAAGTCCTTTGTGATTTTTCTGGATGAAAAGCACTATGCATAGAAGAGGATCTTAATAAAAAGAATACAAAAGATACCATAAATTTAATCTAAAAGTAACGCACAGTGGAGAGTGTAAGGAATACTTCTAGCAGCCTTGCTCACAAGGTATAATGGCAAATGATACAGCTGCATTTGGAGTTCACCCTGTTCTAATGCTTCCTTCCCACCCTTATTTTTTTTCCTTTTCCTGTAAAATATGCCATTGATCTTCCATCTGAGCTTTGTACTCATCCAGCAATTTCTGCATGTGGTGCCAACTGCTGGTAGAGCACATGAAGCTCAGTGTGCACTATACCTTTCCATGTAACGTCAGAGGTTTTCCTTTCAATCAATTATTAGCTAAAAATTGCCTTGTTTCCTCTCTGAGATAAAGAGAAGGTGAAAAACCTGTTCTATGTCGCAAGCACACTGGCCAAAATACATTTATGTTCAAGCACCTGACAAAGTGGCCTGACTGTCAAGAGTACATTTTACAATAAGGTTTTGGTTTTTTTTCAGAAAGAGACTAGCCCCAGTGATCTAAATATTCTATGGAGATTCTACTTGGGCAAAATCTGTGCCCATCAGCTGAAACTTCCCTAGGGGTCTTTCTTTGTATCCCTGTCATATCTGTGCCATCGCACATCACTGACAATCTTACCTTCTACTTGTGTATTCACTTGTGTATTGTACCCATATGGGAAATTTAGGTAGATTCTTAATGAGAGAGTTTCTGTCTTACTGGAACTGATACAATTAGCCTCTGTTAATTGACGCACAGGGAGAGACTCTTAATAGGCAACAGTAATACAAAGAAATCAATGCTTCCTTCCTACAAGGGTACCCTCCACTCATGTCTTCTACTTCAGTGCTGGCTTGTTTCTCCTAGGTGAGCTCAACCCTTCTGTAGAGGCTTGCCAAAAGCCAAAGTATTATAATTAGACTATGGGGAATGTGTAACTCAGCCAGGGTTATTCACTTCCTTCCTACCAGCTCATTACTATCTAGGATTACCCAAAGTTTTGACACACTCTGCTCAAGACTTTAAAAAATTAGTGCCTAAAACTAGGCATTGGCTATAGCTAAGCACCTTGGATAGGAGTCTCGCAAGAAAGGCCAACACTGAGCACAACTCCACTGCCATTACATTGGTGGTAAAACTCCCTTCACCTTCAATAGGAGTGGACCTCAGCCACCACTGAGCACTCCTGAAAAATCAGCAGTGGGGTTTTTCGAAAGTGCAGGACACCCAGCAAAGGCCGCAGACTTCAGGACAGAGTGGATCACACTGAAGTCAATGAATGCTGCATGCTTAACACTCAGACAGCTTGTTTAGGTGCATAGACATAGATTTAGGCACTGTGGGCACTTTTTTATATATATATCTTGGCCTTTTATTTTGCTAAACTGCACAGCTTTCAAAACACAGGTAGGCTGGTTTGCTCTACTGGATGGAGGAGAGGGGAGAGATTTGTGGAATTCTTTTCTTAATAAACAGACTAAAACGCTCGGATTACTGACTCTGCCAAAGCAACATGGACTACATTAACCAGTTGACTGCTGCTGACATTTCCAAATGCACCCAGGTAGAGTCTCCTGCTGTGCTGCACGATGTACTAGCTCCATCCTCACACGCCACTGATTTCGACAGGATGTTGATGGATTATAGCAATGCAGCCCATGGCTAGCTGAGGAGGAACGAGCAGGGTAGCAAATGGATTCCATCACAGGTATTTCAAACTACAGAGCAAGGATGGAGCTGGTCAAGCAGAAGATCATGCACAGCCTGCAAGTTAAAGGGTAAAAGGTGGGAGGAGGTTTCCCACAAATCAACCTTCTATGGGATGCTGTCATCTTATATTTGGCAAACCCCAGCAAATCAATGTTAGCAAGAATAAGGAGGAAGTAATCCACCTTAAATCCAGGATTCCTGATTATGATAAATCAGTGATGATAGCCGTGACATTGCTCACAGCAAATTATATTTATATTCTCTCTCTCTCTTTCTCTCTCTATTTTTATATAGGTAAAGGACAAAGGGTTTTACATATCTATATAATCTACAAATGGACAAAGGGCTCCCAATATTTGGCATGTAGATCACAGCCAATATGGAAAGAGTGTACAGTATTAATTGTACCTAACTGCTGCAAAAAGCTAATGGTCCTATTATATTTATGGTTGCAATTCTCCCTGCTCATCTCTCTTTATTCCAGAGAATGCCTATAAAATTCTGGAAAAAAACCATTAGCATTGGCATACAAAACTTTATGTCCCAGCTTATGTTGGAAGAGAGGTCAATACCCCAGAATGATTCACAAACCAGGGGATGATAGGTGTTCACTTACGCCATAAGTGCGGCCAGCTCCTGTAGATGTGCTCAAAGGTCCCCTACTGGAGCAGGCCTCTCAGGTGAGTTCACACAAAACAGCAAGAAGACGACTTCCCTCGTAACTTTAATCTAGAGTGCTCACCTGGGATGGAGAGACCCCTAGTTCAAAGTCCCCCTCCATCCATAGGTAATAAGGGTTTTGGACTAGGATCTTCTAGCTCTCAGGTGCATGCACTAGCCATTGGGCTAGAGAATATCCTGAGGTGCAGCTCCCTTAGTCTCTCCAGTAGAAGCTGTTCCATTGTGACAAAATAATTGACCATCATTGGAGCAGGGGGATTGGCTGGAGGAGATGGGGGGAAGCAGGCCCCTGAACCCTCCTGCCCCTGCCCCTGTCATTGCCCACCCACCCAAAGTCAGGGCCCACCCAAATGTCCCATGCTGCCTACACCACTGGCGTAAACCACCAGTCTATAAAGCAATTTTCATATGTGCGCACTCAAGCTCTGTCATTCTCTCTCTCTGACCCAAGTGACTGTAATTAGTGAACCAGAGTGGAACCCACTTCAGCAGGGGAGATCGAGAATATCCTATAGCCCAATAGTTGGAGCCTTCCCCTGAGTGCTGGGTAGATCCCTATTCAAATCCTGTCTCCCCACAGGCGGTGGTGGTGGGGCCTCCCCCACCCAGGTGAGTGCCCTAATCACTGGCTTGTGTGAATGGCAGTCTGAGGCACTATCTCCCCAGTCACTGTACAGGGAGCCTAGGCACCTAACTCAGGCTTTGTGAACTGCAGTGTGTTCTGGTGATTAGTCAGGTGCCTGAAAGGTAAGTGACAGCACCTAACTTCTTTGTGCTCCCAGGCCTAAAATTAGAAATCTTAAGTAAGCATCAGTGACACTAAAAATACAGTTCTGCTCTGGAAAGGAATGATGTAATAAAAGCCTCTTGTGCATGGGTCCTACTAGCTCTGTGTGTACAGCTTTCTGTCTGCTTACTGTAGAGACATTGGACCAGGGCAGTCTACCCCTTTCAGGGCCTGCAGAGCCAGGAAACAGCAAGCCCAGGCCTAAGGAGAAGCCCAACAGAGAGTTGTTGACACCAGCTGATCCAGCTGAGCAACAGCTAATGATTGGTTCTGATTCCCAGCTGGAAGATATAAGTAAGGACCCAGCTGGTGGGAGGGTAGTGCTGTATTAGTCAGAGTAGGGATAACTCAGCCACTTTCACTGAGACAGGCAGGCTGTTGATCTCTTAGCAGTGAGGGGAGGGCTATGAACCTTGAGATAATGAGGGGTGGGGGGGAATGGAGGACCTGTGGTGCCCCTCAGGTCAGGGCTATGGTTTGTTACTTTTCAATATTTCTTGGGGTTTTGTGTGGTAGAGGACTAAAAGAGCCTGTGCTGAAGGCTAAAACAGAGTTGGGTGTGGCTGACTGTTTGTCCCTAAGCCTGTGGAGAGGCTCACCAGATTACAGACATAAATTGTAGTGCTTTCTTCTCCTATTAGCCCTGCTGAGCCAGCACAACTATGGGAAAGTGAGCTGGATTCTGGTCCTTCTTGAGCATCTGCAACAAAATTAATAACTTTTCAATCAGTTATATCTGTGCAAGCACACTGAGAACACTGTCTTGCACAAGTATAAATAAGGTCATAACTTGGCCTGCATCACCAGCAGTAATGGTTCTGCATAAGAATGAAAGAGTTCAGCTTGACTGTACAAATAGCCATATTGGGTCACCCCAAGGGTCCACGTAGCTCAGTATTCTGTCTCTGATGGTGGTCAGTGCCAGATACTTCAGAGGGAATGAACAAAGCAGGGTTTGAGGCTCTTCTTGCTGGCAGCTTGTTCCTGTTTCTTCTTCTTGTGCTCTAGAGATGGGTTCTGTATGCCTTGGAAGACTTGCTCTCAGAACCTATAAAGCTTCATACTGGCCACATGCCCTGCAGGTATGATGATGGAAGGTCCCAGCATTGTGTGTGAAAGCACTCTGCTGCTGAAGGTGCCATTTTTCAGATGAGAGAGAAAGCTGAGGTCCTGACTGCTTGTGGTTGTTACAAATCCTGTGGCACTAGGATCGTTAGCCTTTATGTCCCTGCCAGATTATTTGGGTAATTCAGTCTGCCCACATGTAACCCCTCCTGCATGTTCAGATAAGGTATTAATTACATCCTATTCTGTGATGTTGCTGTGTGCGGTTAAACTTGTCCAAATTTCATCCAGGCGGTGGCTGATGTGATAATCATGTATAATTTGTAAAGCACTTTGACATTCTTCCAGGTAGATTACTATAAATACAAACCCTTTTTTAAACAGCAACTACTGCAAGTGACAAAACACATACTGTGTACAAAATATTTTATTCAACATACAGTCTGTATGTACAGTCTATCCAATATTTTAAATAGCTTATATGTATAGGAGGACATATTGTCTACTTTCCGGTCCAGCAACTCCCATTTAGGCTATATATTACCTTCATTTGGGTGAGCAGAACTTCAGCTGTTTATCACTAGCATGTGTCTACATAAATCTAACGGTGATGTGGCCCTTTGTTTCTGCACTGATGCTAGCTATTAAATAATAAGAGGAGGTTAATACCAGATAAATAGTGACAAAGAAAGCATACTTTGGAGATCTTGCATATTGGACAAAATTCTATTCCCACTGACAAAAAATGGGCTCTGTTCTACTGCTTGTGCTTTCAAAGGGAGTAGGATCTAGTCATCACTTTAGCTGAATACGTGACGTTCAATGCATCTCTTATCTTGTAAGAAACACCAGTTATAAAGCTTTGAAAGGCTGCTGGGCTATCTTTCTAACGCCCATAAGCAGGAATAGAGCAACACAGATGAGCAAATTCAGCATTCCAGCTGCTGTGGCCCCAGGAGTCTGATATCCACATAGATGAAGCAGGCAGACTGCGGAAGTATTTAGGGATGACAACAGTTGTAGACTGGTGGGTTTTCCACTGGACACATTGACTGACATAGGAACAAGGAAACAGCAGCTCAGAGTCCACTGGGGCTGTCAGCAGCTGCCTTGGAGTGCATGTGTGTGGCAGAAGGGCTATCTGAAAAGATCCCCGGACCATATACCCTGAGTAATTGGGCTATCTTGGGGTGGGATTTTGCCCTAACTGTGTAGCTCTTGTTTATCAACCACAAAAATGTGCAGAACAGGCATTTCTCCAACTGTCTAACCACTGCCCAGTTTGCCAAGTAGACCCACACTCTGTTAATCCAGTGTATTTTGACTTTTATAGATCAGATGTGGTTACACATTAAAAATTGACTTAAATTGGACTTGAACATATGCTTAAAATCAAACTCATGCTTTCCTGAATTGAGACCTTATGTATGGGCACCCAGTGTGGCCTTCCATAGCTACATGCTTAATGAGTGTAATGCAAAAATTCTGTACAAGAGCATGGTTCATATTAAACTGACCTGGGCATGTGCAGTGTGACGTTCAAGGGGTCATATCCCACCAGATCAAAACCAGTCTTTGCTAGAAAACTTGGAGGTGTATCTCCTCCATAAAGATGATAGTGGGGACAAATGTCACCTTCCTATTCCTAAACCTACTTTCTGCTAGAGCTATTCAAAAATGGTCAAAGGTTTTGTTTTGTTTTTGTTTAGAATGGAGAGTGTATTTTTGGTCATCCTATACTCAACAACAGCTGCAATTTCCCCTTCCCCCCACCAGTTTGCAGAAATTCTCACCTATGAGCAGTGTATAACCTATGGACAAGTTATACTGGGGAGGAAGGTTCGTACATAAATGAGGCTGATCATAAAAAAAAAAAAAAGGTTTACTTGTAGTTTCAGAGTACTGGATCCCCCAAAGACATCACTTCCATCAGCCACTTGCTGCAGAATCTTTAGATATGCAACCTTTTGAAATGGCATATGGAATTCCCGGTGTACGTACAGTAAAGTTTGTCTAAATAGAAACATCAGCTGAGATGTTCCAGGGCTTTGGAACATCTTAACTTTAATGGGAACTAAGTCACTTCTGAAAATGGCATCCTAAGAGAGTTAGCCCAATTTTCAATGGGAGTTGAACCCTTTCGTTGTTTTATTAAAATCCTATCCCATATGTCCAAACGCATTACATGGTTCTGAAAATCTCAGCTGTCACTTTGAGTCTTAACAATTGCGTGAATTTGACATAGGATGAACAAATTTCCTGCTTAATTAGCAATTTCTGTTAAAAATTAAAACACAAGTTAACATTTTTAACAGCTCGAGAACATACACTGAAGCTGAACTGTCAGAATGCGAGAAGAAATGATGGAGTCACAGGAAGTACAGAGCTCATAGTCATATGTATGCAAAAGCCATCACGAGTATGGAATAACAAAGTCAATAGCTAAGTAGAAACACATTTGACACTTAATAAAAACCATTTATAGACAAAAGTTCACGCAAAGGAAAGAGGTGCATGGAAAACTTAATGAAGAGAATTGCAATTTAAAAAGGACAAAATACCATTTAAAACATGAGCAGTATTGGCAATTAACGTACAGTATTCATTATCAGTGTGCACACATATTAACTAACAGTTTGCTTTTGACGTTTTCCCCACTTAGACTTCTTCCACTTTAAGCTGCCTTATTTTGTTGGCTCCAATTCTGTTTAAAAATACCAGGCATCATTCAAATACTTACTGATATTCTGATCCAAGAACAATAAATTATAAAAGAAATGTAATTGCAGTTTGTGTCGTTATACACATAACAAGAAGGCTCGCAATAACAAGGGTAACAAGAATACACTTAAATAGTTACAATGAAACTTTAGTTTACGTTCTACCCTCAAGATCAGGAAAAATGTGATCTAACTTGAAAGGTGACTTTTGTACAGGCCTATATATTTAAATTGGTGAATAAAAAATGGAGGAATACAGATTAAACCATCTGAACTATAAAGTAACATTGTACTGTATTTTGTCCATGTTTAAAGCTCCCCAAATAATCAGCTGTTTGCTAATATTCTCAGAACTGTACTGACATGCTACTCCACACATCCATGCTGTATCACCTGTGACAGCATGAGCAATGGAACAAACCTGCTTCTGTGCGATATTCATTTTCTGTCAGAAGCTTGCTTACCCTGCCATCAACATTACACCATCAGGGTTTCACGATCTTATGCAGTTCAACATGTTTGCTGTATTTCTGACTTCCATCAGGAGCCTAAAACCTCATTACAAGTAACAGTCTGTTGCATTGTGTAGAGCGGGAGACTGAGGAAATCAATTGTGACGCTTATCCGATAGCTTGAAAAATTTGAAAATGCATTGAGAATTATGTCAGCCTAAAGGGTAGCGGGAGAAGGAGAAATTTGAAGCTGATTTTTTAACTCTCATGCCTCTTAATAATGAACCAAGCATAAGAAAAATGCAGGCTTCTATGATGAACTTTGTGCAAAAAACAACGGAACTGAAAAAACGTTATTTCTGCCTGGGAGAATGGTGGGCTCATGGCAAAGTTAACAAGGGATGAAGCCACTCCCTGCAGCTGAGACTGATAGGGGCTGTAAGTCGTTGCTCTCTGCTGGCTGTTTGCTGGCCTGCCGTATTTGAATTGAGTTGACAGTTTCACTCAATTTCCTAGGAGGCAAGTGAGCACATCACAAAAAAATTACACTCGCAGTTGGTGCTGGTTGACTCACTTGTTGGCAGGCTCAGCAAAGAGGCCAACGATTAAATGGACTTAGAGAACAAACAACTTTTCCTCCCTGGAGTTGTTCCCTCTGTGTCAAGGCTGGAGGTGGTTTGGGGAAGTTGGCACTGATCTCCATGCCATGTATTTTAAATGAAATTCATTTTTCATTGTTTGTACTTTTCCCAAGTAGTACATTTAATATTTAAAATTATCTGAAAAAATAGTACTTGATTGTTATAATATTCTGGTGCTCAATGTCTATACTTCCAGGGCAGACATGAAGTGCATATTTAGTTTCTTTCTTCTAAGCAATAATTGAAATTTGATGGTAGAGGACCTCTTGGGTTTCTAGCCCAGCTAGGGATGGGTATACTGTTCTGGATAAAGAAAGATTTAAAATGGACAACTTGAAATGAACCCATCTTAACCACTTTTAAAGATCAAAAATGCGTGTAATTCTTTCCTAACATTACTTATTTCTGTGTTTCTTGGTACTTCCTGATTCTGTCTGGGATAATACATGGAATTTCTGAAGTACCATGAGAGATACTTCTCTTGAAAGTTTCTGCCAAGTTTTGCAGGATCAAGAAGCTTGGAATTGTCTGGATAAAGTTCAGATGAGTATCTGAAGGCCAGTGATGCATCTCCCATTGACTTCAAAGCGTGCAACTAATGGGATGATCAGGCCCATTAGATAGTTGCCTTTCCAAAATGAATCCCTGAACCTTTTTGAGTAGAGCTGGACAGGAATTTTCCACTCATGTTTTTTCAACGGAAAATAGCTTCCAAAATCAAAACTTTCCACAAGAAAACTTCATTGGCTGTGAATTTTTTCAAACTTTTTATAGGAAAATAGAAACAAAATGTTTGGTTTTGGGTTGACCCAAATCTAAACACTTTGGTTTGGGACACTTCAGCATTGAACTGCCTGAGCTGTGATAGTGTCTCATGGGAGTTGTGGTTTAGGTGTTTCATTTTCCCCCACTCTCTATGGGCTGGGTTCCCTGGCTATACTATTACTTCCATGATGCATTGTCTCCCCTCTGGCTGAATTGCCATTGTGCATCCTGGGAGATGTAGTCTGGGCAATGCACGTGGAAACTGGCATTGATGCACTGAAGTTGGTATGGCCACACTGACTTACACCAGCTTCTGAATGCCACTTTCATCTGCCTGTAGAGTATGCCAGAGGTCAGTTACATTACAGAAAACGGATTAGGAGGAAGATCCACAACATGGTATTTCCTGCTTTTCTATAGGGTATGTCTACACTGCATACTAAGCCCAAGGTTTGATACAGGTTTAAGCCCAAATCCCTCTTCTGTCCACACACCAATTAGTCTGACTTGGGTCAGCAAGCACTTGGGATCTGGGTCCTAGGAACCTGCGAAGGTGAGTGGGTGGGTCAGCGCCTGAGTCCTGCTGTGACTCTGATCCAAGCTCTGTCACTTTGCAGTGTGGATGCAGCTCAAGCCACAGACCCCAAGTCAGAAGGTTTGCATAGTGCAGCATAGATGTGTTAGCACAGCTGTAAGACCTGGCTCCAGCAATTGTAAACCCAGGTTTATAATGCAGTGTGGATGCTCAAGCATGGGTTTGGAAATACCAAGTCTACAAGTATCATTTTACACCAGCTGATGCTCTAGCCTTTTGTGGGTCCTGAAATATTCATACAAATATATATCTTTTTAAAAGTGTACTGGTGACTCCCACTCTCTAACTTAACAGTGACAGTAACAGTGACAAAGTTGAGGATTTTTTTTCCAGTAGCATAAGTTTCCTGAAACTCATTCAAAATGTTAAGTGCCATTCATTTTCACTTTGAGAAAAAGAGCATTTTTGAGTGTCTGCACTTTCAAATCTTCACATTACAGTGAACGCTGGACTGTTTGTTCCTGATAAATACTGAGCAAACTCTTCTTTGTATGGCAATATGTTTTGAACACTTTCGACTTATAAAAATCCAAGCGTTTTGAAACTGCCAAAATGGGACACTTAAGTGTCCTGAAAGAAGTTCATTGGACAGTTTATGAAAAACCAGAAACCTCCAGGTAAAATAGAGGCATATGCCGACTTATATATTGATGACTTACAAGGAAACTCTTCAATGTATTTGTGACTGTGGACTGGGATGACTAACTTCTTCCACTGGAATATGTCAACACTTGTGCCTCTTTGTAGATCGAATTACACTGAATGGTTGAAGACATGGTTGGTGTGCATCCTTCTCCCATCCTGAAAAGTCAAGAATATGCTCTCCAAAAAAGAGCTTAATTTTTACAGATCCAGGCATCAGTGCAATGATCTGCTGGATCAATCATCTTCATGCTCTGAATAAGGATGCTCTTCTGAACTCGTGCTCAGTTACACTAGTTTGAATTTATTTATAGATCCATGGCTCTGGAAAGAGGCAAGATAGATCTCTTTGCTGCCTCGTTTGCTTAAGCAAGTGAATAGATCTCTACCAGCTATCCCCACAATAACTGTAGCTTAACTTTCCCTCTTCTCCCAAAATCAGAATCCTTCATGAATCCTACAAATGTGTATTATTTTTAATAGTTTATCTAGCAAGAATTAACCTTTGGCAAATGTCCAATATGTATAGCTTAATTTCTGAGTGGCTCAAGATATTAAAAATTTATTATAATGTATGCAGGCTTGTACTGAAGAGTTAAATGAGTTTAAGATACAGTATAATCCAAAGCACGTATTTACATAATTTGAGAAAAGGACAGGCTCTGTAATACTGCTGATGTTGCATGCCAGTGTAAAATAAGTTACTCATTTGCTGGGCTTCTATTCAGTGCTGAAATATTCTGACAAATTCCAGGATGGAACACCTGACACTTATAATGGGTACAATAAGAGGCATCAGACCTCTTTCTAGCATAACAAAAATCTTTAGAATGTGTTTAAGTGTTGTGGGTTTTTTAATTTACCCCTCAACACACACACATTTTAAGAGGAGACCCTTGTTTAATTAACCACCACCCAAAGATTCTGAAATTCCATTTACCAGGATCTTCAGGAATGACAGCAACAGCTTGTTGGTGGATTGAACATACATCACTTTAAGCGGTAGGCAAATTTTCAGCAGGTGCAACACTGTGACCTCAGCTTATTACACTAAGCTTTGTGTCCATCCTTACCTACGGATTTAAACTAACAAAACCAGTTGACAGTTGTTTCTCCTGTCCACCAACACCCTCCAAATCATGTAGTATAAGTCTGTGGTTGCCTTGATTAAGCGCTATAGTGAGCTATAAGTAGCACTTCTCGTTTTGCCCTTGGGCCATTGTCCGTGGTTGGCTCTGGATTCTGCAAGCTAACAGTGGCCTCCTGCCGTTCTGAGGATGGTGGTCCTGCAGATGCAGCAACAAATGTGAAGTTGTTGTCCTGTACCCTTGGTGCAGTGCGGCACACTCGGGTGGACTTTGAAGAAAACTTGTTGCTGGTGGTAAAAGATGTCCTCTTATCGCATTTCAGAAGTGCACAAAAGCACCTGTAAAACTAAGACACAAAACATAAGCAATGAATGAGAATATTATTTACTCACACCATCCTATTCTGTGTAAAACATTTCACCCAATGGTACTCCTGGGCCCTCCTTTGGGTACAGCACTTAATTTCCTAGAACAATAATGCAAAACACATTGGGTGGGTGTGATTCAACTTGGTGGTTTTTCTTTCTTCTTCTTCTTCTTTTTTTTTTTTTTTACAGTAGCCATCAGAGGCCCCAGCTGAGATCAGGACCCTATTACGCTAGGGATTGTACAAAACCATTTATTGCCTTGAACAGTTTACAATCTAGGGCACCCATCCCAGCATGTAGGTGGACGGCTGTGCCTATACAAAACCCCTAGACACCATGGGTTCTGCACAAGTGCAACCGTCGGTTGTGTGCAAGATGTTGTAGGATCAACTAAGCTATGATGCAGTAGTGAGTATAAGCAATACGAAGGATCAGAAGAGGGTGGATAAGGGAAGCAAGTAAAGAAAATGCTTAACTTAGGCCATCTATGTGCACAGCTAGATTGTTCGGAGTATCCTCTCTTCCAGAGCTCTGTAGTGTTCTAGGCTCTTAGTTATTTATAGAAAGATAGAGTCCTTACTCAAAGAGCTTCCAATTTAGTTTCAGAAGTAATGTAACAGGAGGGTGAGAAACATGGCAGAAGGCAAGGGAGGAACAAAGATAAGACCAAGATCATGCCATGACTTTGATAGGGAATTTGCACATAATGGGTTTCTATTAAATATAACTGATATTTTGCATGGTTCACTATTTTCTTGTTGACAAACAGCAGAAGTGATTTACAAGGAGGAGTTTAAATAAGGAGAGGGAAGTGGCTTGGCCAACATAGAATCATAGAAATGAAGGGCTGCAAGGGGCCTTGAGGTCATCAGGTCATACATGCTCCACACATATGCATGGGAAAAGGTGCAGGGGAGGATGCGGAAAGGGGCATCAAAGCTGGAGTTGCTGCAGTTGAGGGGTTGAAGTACGGAAGGAGATTACTACAACTCATTCCTTTGCTGACTATACAGACTATTCCATTGTTTTACCTCACAAAGACCTTTACATTACAATGTCCCGTTGTCCCATTAAGGTTTTGTTAGTTGTAAAAGCCTTCATTTTTTTCAGAAATGTTCATCATCTATTTAATTACAAGTCTGAGGAAGAGCGATCATGTTGAGTGAGACAGTCCACTCCAGTAGGCTTGTGCAGTGTAATAATCTAAAGGCATGTAGGAATGTCTGTACTGTCTATCTGCCTATTACAACCTAATTCATTTCATTACAACCTAATTCTGACTAAAGAGCTGTATTCCTCAGATGGGAGAACTCATGGCTGCTAGCTTAGTAGGCTTTATTATAATGACTGTGTAATCATAAGCAAAATGCATTAATTCAACCATGGTTTAAAAGGCTGCCAGAATCTGCTAATGGTATTGGCAAATCAATCGTACTAGCCTGTGGCTGGTTTATTGAAAATATGGTGGGGCTTCAGTTAACTGAACTTCAGAGCAAGATTGTCTGTCTAACTGAATCTATTGGGGGAATAAAAAGGAAATTAGGTAGGTTGCTGGAGTTAAGCCTTCCAGACAGACTTTTTGTTAATCAAGCATCTGTTATGGAGTGGATTTTTCAGATGTTCGGCAAAAAATGGAGTGCATGGGAGATTAGAATGTGTCTATGAAGTGAGAGCTGAGGCAGTTAGTACCTATTAATTAAACAAACAATTACTCAAAACATAGCACCAGTTTGTTGGAAAATGATCATTTTAATGGGATTTTTTAAAGTCTGTAGTTCTCTATGAAATTCTGGTTTTCATTTAAAAAAAAATCAGTTTCAACCAACAGGAAAATTTTGTTGGAGAATTTTCATTTGGTCAAAAGAGCCATTTTTCATCAGAGTGTTTTCATGCTGCATTACAGAGGTCAGCTCCAAATGCTGGCCTTCTCCGCAGTTTCTATAGTAATCCCTACTAATAGCACTCCAAAGTCTGCTCCCTATAAACTAGAGATGAGTGAATTCTGAAATAGTAAATTACCCTTACGCGCACTGAAAAACTCTCAGTTGCTTCACTGTGGAATATTTCCTGTTGTTGTCTTCTTCTCCTCCCCCACCAAGGTGGGGGACAGGGTGGAATGGTGCATTGCAACTGTCACAGGGTGATTGGCCCATTTAAGAGAGTTGGTCCAGCTCACCTGTGGCTAATTAGCTACCTGAAAAAAGGTACCTGGTGTCTGAAAACCTAAACTGTGTTAGGACAAGGAGGAAAAAGAGGCAGGAAGCTGGAGGTGAGAGTTCTCTGGAGCAAGCTGTATGAGCTTCTCTTGATTTCCCCTAAGAGAGTACAAGTTGGGAGTTTCTTGGAGGGGAAGAAGATCTGGCCCAGAAGAAGAATTGGGCAGAGTTGATAGTTCAGGACTGACCGGAGCTGGGGAACTCCACCAACTGGAAGTCTTATGAGGCATCTCTTAGGTAAAGGGGAATATCTGTTTCAGCCAGGGGCAGAGGATGATTCTGGAAGAGCTTAGTAGGGGTGAAGGAGGCCTGGGGAACAGAACACTGCAGGAGCCCTGAGGTCAGAGTTGCCATGGAAGAGTTGTAAGAAATTTGGAGACAGGTTAGTGGGGGTGCAGAAGTCATGGAGTAGGGATTGTTGTTTCAGGTAACTAGATGATTTGGAGGCGTGTGCGTGTGTGTTAGGACAGGCACAGGGACAACAGATTTGGTGAACTGCTGCCTCTTTAACTTTAGGGTTTGTGAATTGTTTCAGTTTGAGGGACCTGGGAGTTGAGGCACACATTAATAAACGATGTGCCAAAACAGAGGTCCTGTTAGACTGTGAGAAGAACTGCTTTCCTTTCCTGGGTGGGTGAGATGGCTGTTGGCCTTGTCTGTGAGGAAAGGAGGGGCAACTCAGTTGCCCCTTGGGACTGAAGAAGGGGAAACTGAGGCTGGATGCACATGTTGCACCAGGTCAGCCATTTGAGGGTGTCTTGGTGGGGATGGACCCTGTGACAGAAATAACTGTCATCTCTAGATTTTTCACAATTAACCTCTCCACTCTGGTTCTTAAGACTTGTAACTTATTCAGATTAAATTATGTATTTTCAGCTGTTATGACTACAGGTCATCCACCTTGAAGTTAGTGCAAGAATCTGTGGTGAATAAAGGGAATAACTGAAGAGTTTAAGGATGTTAGAGAAGCTAAATGACTTCTTTGTATTAGTCTCCACTGCAGAGGATAATGGGGAGATGCTTTCTTTTTTCAGATAGTAGATGAAGCACTGTCGGAGATTAAGGTGTCAAAAGAGGAGGTGGTGAAACAAATTGATGAATAAAGAACAACAAGTCACCAGGACCAGTATATAGTGGGACAATTCCTTCTACTTTTTTAGAGGTATTACTGGTTCCTGCAGCATTTCCCATCAAGTATAGGGAGTATGGTTCTTGTCTTCTACTTGTACTGTAAGCCCTATAGGATAGGGACCACATTTTGTTCTGTTTGTACAGTGCCTAGTACTAAGGAGTCCTCATCCATGACTCCTAGGTCCTCATCCATGACTCCTAGGTGCTATGGGGATACAAATAAAAAACCTTCTAAAACTGGACTGAATCTCTTCGTATTTCCACTGTACATCTAAGAGTTCCAAAGGAATTTTAAGAATGAAATGGCTGAGCATCTAAGAGAATGTACAATCCATCATTTAAAAATCAACTACTGTACCAGAACACTGGTAAGGAGAAAATGCCATAGTTATGCGTTTTGAAACTCTTAGAAGTGTTTCTAGAAATTACAGAGCAGTAAGTCTACCTCAGTATCGGATAACTTGATTGAAATGATCACATAGAGATAACCATGGTGTGATTATTTTTTTTCCCTTAAGTAAAAGACAATCATGCCTTCTAACCTACTATACTTTTTTGTCTATGATTTTGTTGTCATATTTAAAGGAGAACCAATGAATATAATTAATGAGGGAGATTTTTCCAAGCAATTTAGGCCCCAAACTTTCATTGAAAGTCAATGGAAATTGGGTGCTTAGCTGCCTTCAGTGGCCTTTGAAAATCTCCTGCTATAAGTCCCCGACGGGGCTCTTCAAGAAACGAAGTAGTCATGGGGTGAGAGGTAAAATACTGTAATGGATTAGAAATTAGCTCAGAGAAATCAGAGTAGAAATAAATGGTCAACTTTCAGCAGGACTAAAGTTAATAGTAGGGTGCCACAAAGGCTCTGCACTTGTACCAGCATTATTTAATCCGAAAAGGGGGATGAATAACGAGGTGGCAAAACTTGCAGAAGACGCAGTCACTTCTTACTGCAGCTAGAGCTGGCCTTGAGAAACTTCAGGGGGAGTTGTCAAAGCTGGGTGAGTGGGTATTATGCTAGTGCTGAAAAAGTCATCTTTGACAAATGCACATAGAATGGAATTCTTTGAACTACTCATGCACACTGCTGGATTCTAAATAACTGTGACCACTGCGGGGAGAAGGGGTGGAGGCATGGCTGTCACTGTGGACAGGTCAATGACAGCCTGTTCAATGCAGATGATAAATTGAGTTGTGGATGTGTAGGTCATGGGACAGAACTTAGTACTGAAAATATTTAATGCCATTCTTGGAACTGATGGCATACCCTCATTGGGAATAATTTATACAGTTCAGGACATTCTCTTAAAGTTACAACAGAACTAGAAAGGGTTCAGAGACATTAAATGGCCTTAAAAAGCAACACAATTTAAAAAAGGTAAATTGTATTATTCTAGGCATAGACCAGTGGAGCTTAGTGCCTCAAACTGCTATTGAGGCTCAGAGTTTAGCAGGGTTCAGAAAAGGATTAGAGATTTATGTTTTTATAATCCACATCTCCAGTTAGATTGGATGGGATAATGGGGTTTAAGAGAGGAAACCCTCATACTTCAGAGCATGAGCCAATCACTAACTGATGGGGTGTGGGGGGGGGGGGGGTTGGAAGAAACTTTCCTTATGGGCAAGTTATT